ACCAGAGCTCCTTTACATACACACAGATACCTGTCAATATATAAGGCATGATACAAAATCTGTTCTATAGGGACTTTCACAAGCCCTCTCTCATGTCATACGACACCTAGCATGAGAAGTAGTTGCAGTTATCCTTTCTTTACAGAAAAATAAAGTGCAGCAAATGAGGGGTGAGGTCACACAATCGAGAAGTAGCCGCAAGCCTGGCTGGGACTGGGCCTGGACCTTCCAGCTCTGGGCCTCTGTCCACGTGCCACAGCCAAGGCCTAAAATCACTGGGAAAAGCTCCCTGCCCGTGGCATAGTGCCTAAGGCATTTGACTGCTAACCAGCAGGCTGGCAGTTCAAACCCACAAGCTACTCCTCGGAAGGAAGGTTGGGCAATCTACTTCTATAGTGATACCACCTCGGAAACCCAAGGAGAGGTCTCTATAGTCGGATCTGACTCGATGGCAGTGAGTTTGGTTTTTTGGGTTTTTTTATTAAGCAATAGGCCATTTTCAGGGAGCATCCTTTTCCATCAGTTACTTGCAAGCACACCTAGGCCTTAAGACAAGAAGACCTTTCCACCCCAAGAAGATCTCCATTCAAATCCCATCACAATAGATTATGCCAGCATCCTCTATACTTGAAACACTCTAGGAGAATCAACTCAGTAAGGAGAAGGTAGATGTGAATTTCTTTAGTGAACATCTCTTGACAGCTGAATGGAGCCTTAAAGGAATGGGGAGTGGTATGGCACATGGGGTAAGGAAGGAGAAAGAGTTCCAGAGTTTGGAGACTTTCTTCAAGGAAGGGCCAGGCTGGGGCCTCTAACTCTAAGCCAGTACAGGAAGGACAGAAAACAGGGAGGGGAAGACAGGAACAGAAAGAACTGCCCTGGGTATCAAGACAAAGTGAAGCAAGCTGACCATTTTTCTCAGATCATCACACTCAGAATGTATGCAAATGCCCTGGGGCATGGCCTCATACTGGAACCTGAGAAGCAGTGCACTGCTTGTCCTCTCTCATGGAGCCCAGACTTTGGTCACATGAACAACTTCCCCAGCCCAACACTAGAATCAAAGAGTCCCTGGTCTTGATTCAGCACCTCAACCTGACCATCAAAAGAAGAGAGTTTCTTCTGACTTTCAGACACCCCCCCACCCCATGTACTGCTAGAAGGGAGCACCCACTATGCCCTACCTGGGACAGCGCAGTGAGGAGGGAGGGTCCCCTGTCTTCAAGACTAAAACCACTCCCACCCATTTAATTCTTTTGGGGTGGTTTGGGGTCTCTGACACGAGGGTGGGAGCATAAATTTAGTTGGCAAATGACAAGACCACTGCAAGTAAACGAGAAGAATGAAAGAAAAAAGCTTGAAGGAGAAGTAGTGGCCTCTCACTTATTGTTGTTGTTGTT